CCTCAGCACTACGCGGTGCTGTTTGACGCGTCAGAGTGCGCCAAGGTGCTCATGCGGCGCACCAACGGCAGCGGCGGCGACCTGCAGCGCCTGCGTGACGCGCGGGGCCGCACCCCCATGGACATGGCCATGGCCAAGGGCCGCGTCACAGACGAGGAGCTCTTCATACTGCTCAGCAGCTAGACCGCTGCGATGGTGCGGGGACACAAGGGTGGGGATGGATACCCACCCTCGCGCGGGCTGGTATGCTAGGCTCTGGCTGCCGCAGCTGGCGGCCGCTCTTGGAATTGCGACTTAGCAGCGCAGGTGGTCTCATTGTTGCGCGCCATGCTCCCAATGGCTGCTTGGTGGTTTCATGTCAGAGGCTTGGCTGGAGGGTCCTCTTTCCCTCCGATTCCCCTGCCCCTTGAGTTGCCTGTGGCCTTTGCCTCGTGGTCATTGATCATCTTTTGAGCTACAGCGGCCCTCACCCGGCGGTACTGCTGCAGCCGCCAGGCAGATCCCTGCCACACGTGGAGATTTTGTCACGAGAGAAGATAATTGGCAGCGATTTCAATTGTGTTACCGCGTCAGGGGTTTTGTAATTTCACGTGAGAACCGTGCAGCAGGCTGTTGCCAGACGCTACAACACTCATCAGGATGCCGGCCAGGGCGCCTGTGCCTGCTGCAGCAGCTGCAGCAGCTGGCCAGCTCCTGGAGAAACCAGCAACCTGTCAATAGAGCCAACTGTATAATCTGGCCATAACAATGGGATCGTGGCTATCGGAGTGTATAAGCCGTTTGATGGGAACAACGAAGTCAGGAGTGTGAGAAGGAAGCTGCAGTGGTACAGCGCCTGGCCAATGCTATACTGAGGATGGACCCGCTGGCAATAGCGCGCGGCTGGGCCGCGCAGCAGCCTGGAAGTCCTTTTGATGCGGGCTGGCTGGCCCACAGGCTCTCCAGGACACCTCCCGCCGCGCATCTTGGCAGTGTTGTCACAGATACCAGGGCTTAAGTGGTGTCGTGGACATGCATGGCATGGACGGTGGGAAGAGTAAGGTGGGGTGAGGGAAGTGAGGCATATCTTGTGTGGTGAGGTGTGTGCTGCTGCTGCCCATTGGACCCTCATACTCATTTCGCCGCCCGTCCCCGTGATCCCACATCCCATTGACCTGCAAATGTCTGCATTGCTTCACAGCAATGCCCTGACAATGAGCCCGCCCCACCTTGAGGCCAATGCGGCGCAAAAAGTTGATCTTGCTCCAATCTGTCAAGGGGAGAGAAGCCAGACAGGAGTGTGTGCGATTTCAGCTCAGCATGCAGAGATGGTATTCTCACATCGCTGTACTGGGTCATCGTCAATCAGTGGCAAGGGCCACTGATGCGAGCCCTGAGTCAAGCCATGGACCTGGCCTTGCCCTCACCAATATCAGCCCAATTCTCCTTTACAATGCCACCTGCGATCCGAAAGTGTTGTGGGGTGATGAGCGAACTTGGGTGTGGGCCGACGAGTGATGCGGGCGACGACAAGCCCAGGCCATAACCCAGGAGCAGCAAGCACTGACAACCCCGCCATGCTGCAAGCCCCTGATTATCCACAACAGCGGTGGCCCTGATCCAGCGCTTCCTCTCGTCAGGTGCTTCGGTGCACTCGTACCATTGGTGTCAGGGCTGTGACAAATGGGAAGAAAACAGAGGGCGAGAAGAGCGGCAAGATAAGACGTCGTCCGATAATTTGCAGAGTGGCACACGTTTCGAAACGATCCATCTTTGCACGCGCGCGAGACCCCATCCCATCAGTGCAGCCCGCTCTGGCCAGCGGGCGCACCTGTTGTTGTTCCATGTCCAGAAGAACCAAAGGTTGATGGGCTCGTGGCGGCCGTCCTTGGCGTCACCCTCGTTGTTTATGTACTTGACCAGGCCCTCCACGGCGTTGGTGTCCTGGGGGGTCACGACGTTGGGCAAGGGGGGGCGATGCTTGTTGGCTGTTGCACAGCAGACCCAACAATGAGCGGCGTTGCGATCCTGGCACGGCAGGCGCATCTGAAGGGCTGGGGCGTTTGGAGTCGTTGGACAGCACCTGTGGTGCGCCACTGTGTGGTGCGCTGAACTCTCCCAGCAGCACCGGCCACTTCAGGCACTTGTTCTTGCCGCAGTAGCCCTTGGTGGAGAGGTAGCCAAATGAGTCAGACATGCGCCTGTACAGCCCGGGGGGCTGGGCGTGGTGGTGGTAATCGTGCGGAGGGGACAGAGCGGCGGGGTCTCATCTGAGGGGCGTCGGGCGGCTGCAGATGTGCAGGCGGTGAGAGACAAACCGCGCACCCGGCAGCACCCTATTCTGCTGTCCCTGAATTGAGGATTGGCATGGATACATGCTACTATTTGTGGGAGATGTTTGTTTCATGTTGCACATCCCACCAACAACGCATGGCTGCATGTGGCAGGTGCGCTCACATCCATAAATTCCTTGGGGATGGGGAACGGGATGACAGACTGGGCGTAAAAGTGGGGCCCAAATATGACGCGCTCTGCATAGGGCTTTGTGAGCAGCTGCTGGAAGAAAAAGTTGGGGTCCTCGATGCCTTAGGCCGATGGGG